TACACACATCCTGACAGCCATCCTGACAGTATCACGCTCCACGGGCCGGATTAAAAGGTCCGCCGGCCGTATACGGCCCGCGGGCCGTAGTTTGCCCATTGCTGGTATAGATAATGGAATTTACACAGCTTTTACGGTCTAACTGCCCATCACATTTCTTGAGGTGTTAAAATACCAGGACAGTGCAAACACCACCAAATGACCCCTTTTCGGAAAGTAGACACCCTAAACTATCTTCCGAGAGGCATATTGAGCCTATGGAAGATTTATTTTTTTTCCCCACAAGTTTCTGGAGAATGACAAATTTTTTTTTTTTTTTGGTGGGTGCTACAATTTTTTATGTCACATAATACTCGCACTGCAATTTTTCAAATGCAAATTTAAATATAAAAAAACTTTTTTTACTTTTAATGCACAAAGACACAACATATTGGCCATTTGGTAACTTATATAATATGTTAATATGCTGAGTAAATAGATATCAAACATGACATGATTTAAAACTGTGCATGCCCCCTGCAATTGTGACAAACTGCATACGTTTTTAATATCCATAGGCAAGGTTTTAAAAGCCTTTACAAGCTACCATTTTAGATTTACAGAGTGTCTAGTGTTAGAATTACTGCCCTTGATCTGACGTTCGCGGCAATACCTCACATGCATGGCGCAACCGCTGCATACCGGCACAGGGTCAACAGGTGTGCGCGTGCGTGGGGGGGGTATACATGTTATTTTGATTTTTTTTACATTTTATTTTTACACTGCCCCTTTCTTTTTTTTTTTTGATCACTTTTAATGCTGTCACAGGGAATGCAAATATCCCCTATAACTTCAATGGGCATTGTTATATATTCTTTTTTGAGAAATCTGAGGTCTATCAGACTCTAGATATCTCCTCTGCCCTTACATTATATAATCAAACCAAGATCGGTGTGATCAGATGCTTTCCCAATTTACAAATGGCGCTGTTTATATCCTGCTGCGAAACTGAAGTGATCCTGCAGCTAATTAGACACTAGGATTGCTTTTACATGAAAGCCGATAGCCAGCTGATAAAAACGATACCAGGATGATGCCTGCAGCTGTAGGCATCATCCTGGTATAACCATTCAAAGTCCAGGGATCTACCAGTACGTTGCTGATCCTTGTTGGGTATATATGCTATGTTCTTTTTTTTTTTTGTATATAGCCCGTGGACTGAATGAAAAAAAGAGAAGAAATCTCTGCCAGAAAAAGTGTGTGGTATGCCCACCATTAGAATATACCGCTCTGCATCCACCCACTTCTAATGGTGGGCACACATTAGGTCACACGGTGCCACATGCGCCAGTTCCAAGATTGTACAAATGTCTAAATAGTGGCACGCTTGAATAAAAATTGTCCACGTATAAGTGGTACCCCATATGAAAGGATGACACCAAGTCCCAAACTATCTTGCCACTACTCCCCATGTAGTCTGGGCATTCGGGGGGCTCCACATGACTATCTTTTCCCTTGTAAATCCTAAACTTATAAGTATAACCTGTTGCCCTCTACAGGTCTTCTACATCTTGACCCCATATCTGGCACGCTTGCTGGGGAGAAATTGTTTGAATGCAAGGCGGCCAGAAAAATTAATGATGGACTCGTCAACGCAGATTTGTTGCTGGGGAGTATAGACATCTGCAAATTTTTTTTGGTTAAGGTGATTTGCGAGGAGCTGAATTTTGTGGAGCCAGTCAAATTCAGGGTCCCCTCAGGGACGACAGAGTGTATTGTCATTAAAATGCATAATTATTATAGATTATACTCTGATATCTATGCCTGGCCATGGCAGCAGAGAACACGAACATGATGAATCAGCAAACACACTATTTAGTTTGTACAAATTAGAATTACAAGGGTTTTCATTTGAACGCAATAAAAGTCACATTACAGGCTATATTTTCCCTTTTATAGACATCTACATACCTTAAGAAAAAAATAAGAAGAGTTGCAACTTCTTAATGGAGATAAGGTCTTAGGTACACCAGTAAACACAAATGCTCCTGCGCTTGGGGATGGAATCGATGCAGGCTACAACCACATTAAGATACTATACTAGCAATGGAGGTTTATTGTGTATGAGCGTCTTCCTGGCAATCAGGGGGTTAAATGTGATAACTGGTGTACTGACGGGCAATCTGACGCTATCTGGGAGGGGCGTGAAAACCACGGGAGCGCGAATCATGTATATATATGTGATTTTGCGCACCTGTGCCGCCTGTAGCAGTATTTCTGCTATAAGGCGGTCAGGAAGCGGTTACAGAAGCGGTTTGTGTTACGGCGCTGCGTTACTTTAACTGGCAATTGCGCGGTCATGCAACTTTGCACCAAAATTAAATTTACGTCCTCTTTTCCCTACGAATTGAGCTTTCTTTTGGTGGTATTTGATTGCCTTTGCGTTAATTTTTTTTTGCTATAAATAAAAAAAGTCTGACAATTTTGAGAAAAAAACAATATTTAGGATTTTTTGCTATAAAACATGTCCAGTAAAAAAATAAAATTTTAGTCATGAATTTCAGCCAAAATGTATTCTGCAACATATCTTTGCTAAAAAAAAAATCCAATATGTTTAAATTAATTGGTTTACGTGAAAGTCATATTGTGCACAAATGGCGGTATAGATATTGGATTTTTTTTTTTTATACCAATAATAGCGGCAATCTTATGCAACTTATGGCGGGACTGCGGCGGACATTCTGACACTGGGGGGAACTGACTTGGGGTCACTGACATCCCCAGTGACACCAATACAGTGATCAGTGCAAAAAAAAAAAAAAAGAACTGACACTGTACTAATGGCACTGGGGAGGAAGGGGTTAACATTTTAGGCAATAAAAGGGTTAACTGTGCAAGGGGAGTGTTTTACTAGGGGGGGGGGGTATACTTCACAGTTGCACACTGTTCCAGAAAGCTAAGCTCTGCTCTCCAGAACAGTGTGCTGGAAACTGACAGGGAGGAGGCCTGCATTGAAAACAATGCAAGCTGTGCTTCCTGTCAGTGTTCGCCTGGCTCCGACAGGTAATCACCGTCCGGGATCCGGTGATTGACACCCACGGCCACGATCGGTGCCGCGGGTAGGGCAGGCCCGCGCGCCCCCACCATGTAAACTGGATGATGTTTATAAACGTGATCCTGCGCAAATGGGCCGCTTTGCCGCAGTATATGTACTGTGGGCGGTCTCCTAGTGGTTAAATGGATTTTTCCCCTTTTCTTTTTACCTCTTTCCTTTAATCTGTTAGGGCACCAGGATTTTCATAGGATAAGAGGGTGGATGAGATCCACTCATATCTATGGCAATGATTTTGCAGATCCTGCCTGCCAACCTCCTGTGTATTATCTGAACATTCTCTCCTCCATGCTTTCAGGCAGTCTCCGGACACCTATCAAGTTCTCTCCCTGCTCCTGGGTCCCCATCTCTCTTCGTCCATCCGCCCACTGCTGCCTCCAGTCTGCAGCTGCTCGTGGCCCCCCCGCACCGCTCACCGACTCTCACTTGGATACCGATCGGCCACAGCACTTTCAGTTCGGATCTCCGGTCCCAGGCTCCAGGTAGGAGGATATCCTCATCACACAGTGCTCATATTTCACCCCCAGTGGCGCTGTAGCGGGTCAGCATCCCAGACTTACCGGCCACGCTGCTCATGGTGCAATGTTACGGCTCCTCCCCCCCTGCGTGATTGTGTTTGATGCTGGAGTGTGAAGCAGCAGTTGAACACGACCATTACAACCTTGGCAGACTGATGACACCAGAAATATTAAGCGACAGTCGTGCGCTGGTGCGATTGTGGCTTAAACCAAATCTCAGCGAAGAAATTAAGGTTTTCTCAGAAGCCCGTCCACTATATCACAAATTTTCTTTCTCACTAACATACAATGGTGCCTCCCTCCCCCATGCTGCCAAACAAGCCTACTTTGTCACTCTCATCAATAGCTTGTCTCATCCAGTCCTTGTCGTCTCTTCTCTACTTTCAACTCTCTACTTTCTCCACCTCCATCTCCACCCAGTACCTCACTCACTGCTATTACGAGATTGCAAATCATTTCAAAAACAAGACTGATGCAATTCGTAGTGGTCTTCATCTACCAACCTACTGCACAGACATCCACCATCAAACCACTTTTAGCATACTGACTTCTTATACTAAACCTCCCTCAACACTTTCCTCCCTCCTCTTTTGACCCTGCTACTACCGAAGAGGTCACTAAGGTTTTCTCAGAAGCCCGTCTCACTATCTGCCCCCCTGGATCCTGTCCCCTCACAACTACGGTCACCCTCTTCTTCTATCCTATGCTCCCTCACTCACATTGAAGAAGGTCTTCTCTCTAATGGTGCCGTTTCCACCTCTCCCTCAGAGTCAAAGCATGCACCTCGATTCTCATCAGCCTTCCCATCTTTTGACCTGCTTAAAAGGCCCCCTCGCCCCTTTGTGGGTGGACAGTGGTTTGGTAAACTGTATATTTGGGTGGTGATAAGATATTGGTTGTTCTGTTTGATATTGAGTCTTTAGTGACTAAGCTGTTATTTGGGTGTATGATCTGTTAATGGTTAACAATGGTTGTTGTTTGGTATGAAAGGTTAAAGTTAATTTCATAATTAAAAAAGATTTAAACCTAATAAAAAGGGGCAGCGGCCTAAATCGTTCCATAATCCTTGTTGTGTGTTTATTTTATTATTTAGTTACGTTCTTATGGTATGCTGAGTGTTAATGGGGTGTACAATCCCATCCTGCTGTCTAACAGTATCTCTATGCTTCTTTATCCAGAGTGTAGGCTCTCTAATATAGCAAGGGTGTTACTGGCCAGATTAACAGGTGAAAATAGAGGGGGAAAAGCCTACAAAAAGAAACCTAACGCCACCACGACATTTAGCGATAGATAAAGTTGCAATATAATTTTTTGTTTTGGGTTTAATACCGCTTTAAACTTCAGCTGGGCTTTAAGTAAATATTGCGTAAAATACAACATTGACTACTTACTCTAAAAGAGAATTCAAGGTTTTCTCCTCCCCATACTTCCATGCCTGTATCATAAGATCCCAAGTAATCAAAGTACTTCTTACTGACAGAGAATAATCCACCAGCCATGGTGGGTGATCTGAAAAAAGAAAAAAAAAATTTGACATGCAATAACATAATAAAAATAATTCTCTAGATCTTCAGTACTTGGGGAAAATTTACAAATTTATCTGGCATCAAGATTTAAATTTCACAATGGGTCAACTCCAGCAAGAAGTTTTGAGATTTCTAAGTGTATGCTAAATATTTATCTGGGCTGATTCAAATTCTCTTCCTAAACAACTTTCAGTTAAGTGAAAGGGGTGTACAAATCGAATCTCACCTTTTAAGCCCCTGCCTGTCTAAAGCTGGCCATACACTGATCCAATTCTGACCAGTTATGGATGAACCGGCTGAAATTCAAGCAGTGGATAATCCTGCAACAATTGTCGACCTACTTTGATCTGAAAATTGATGGAGCTGGGTAGAAATAACTTGACCAAACAGCTACTGCAGCCAATCAGCTGTCAGAATACAATACTCTCAGCAGAAATTGTGTTCATCTGCACTGTATAGCAAAGATTGAGAAATCTGTTAGATTTTTTTTTTTTAAGATTTCATGCCCACTAGAAAAGCTAAAAACTGCTTTAGAAACGCTGGACAAAAAAACGCTAAAACATTAGCTTTTTTTTGCCAGCCTTTAGCAGTGCTTAGCCTAGTGTGTAAGCTACATTTAGTAGCTTCAGCACTAAGAAGCAGGACTGCCAGCTTTCTGAACAACCAGTGAAAAGATGGTTAAGGAGCTGGCCAGACAGTCAGCTGCCGAGTCCTTGACAATGGATGCCCCCCCCCCTCCAAAATCCAAACCAGACCACAAGGGGCAGAGGCACCCGCCCCTTAGTTATTTAAGTGTTGTCATATGGCGGGACTGGAAATTTTTTTTTCAGGTTGGCCGTGGCAACAGGCATTGTGATTGACTACAGATCTACACCCGGGGTTATTTTTTTTTACATTTTTTAATAACTGACTTATCAAAAACTGCCTACTGTCTTTTTACACTACACTTTATTTGTGGAATGAATAGGGGTACAATGTACCCCATAGTCATTCCCAATTGGGGGGGGCAGGATCTAGGGGCCCTCTTGTTAAAGGGGGCTTCCAGATTCTGATAAGCCCCCCCCCCACAACCACTGGCCAGGGTTGTGGGGAAGAAGCCCTTATCCCCCATCAACATGTTGAGGGCATTTGGCCAGGTAAGGTTGGGGGGGGGGGGGGGCTGCCAGGCTGCATGTTTGGATAAGGGTCCAGTATGGATGTTGGGGGGACCCCATGCCGTGTTTTTTCTTGCCATGGGACTCCCCTTAAAATCCATACTAGGCCCAAAAGGGTTTGGTATGGATCAGAGAGGAGCCCCCATGCCATTGTTTTCACAATTTTTTTTATTGGCAGCAAAGGTTTTTTTTTTTTTTTACATTCAGCTGTCAGCAGAGAACTTAGGTGTCATCAGGTTGTTAAGGACATGGCGGCTGGCTTCCACTTTAAAAAAAAAAAAAAAACAACTGCAACATGTTGGGCACCGGCATTTAGTAGACTTTATGAGCGGTCTGCGTTTTTACTACCAAAACAATGCTGCTCCACAACACGCTGGCAGAGGGTTTTCTTTTTCTTTCTGCCACTAAACTCTCCTGCCAGAAAATGCTGCTAAAAGCCTGTGTGCATATGAACATATAGGATAACATGCAGGAAAATTTAGAAGCAGTAAAAAAAAAAAAAAAAGTAGCTGTAAAAACACCCAGTGTGCATGAGGCCCAAGCCTGCAGGTTGAAAAAAAAAAGTCTGTTGGTATATGGCCGGCATGCTCACCTTGTACTTTTAGATCCTACCATCCTGCAACTACACCCCACTCTCAAACTACCGTGTTTCAGATTTCTTACCAGCTGAAAGGGGTGTTACCTAATGTGGATATATATTTTATTAATAATTTACAGACAGTGAAACATAATCCTGTATTATGACAACCTGCATGCACCCAACAGCAATTACCTAACTTAATCTATCAACATACGCAACATGCAAGCTAGTAAAGCCGCAATCACACTGGCGTGCTTTTGCTGCAATTTTCCAGAGTGACAGGTGCATTAAAATTATTCCCCATTAAATCCTATGTAACTGGTCAAACTGCAGGTGTGCTGCATTTTGAAAAGTCCTGCATGCTGCATCTTTGGTGTGGTTCTTCAAAAGCACAACGAAAGGCATCTTCCATTGTAAGTCAAAGGGAATATATCAAAAGCGCATTAATGTGAAAGGGCCTTAAGCAGCACAAAAGCGTGCCAAAATCACATCATTGTGAAAGGGCTCTAAAGATTCTCTTTCACCCAGAAAAATTAACAATTAGGATCAACTATACATGTCTGAACATGGCTTAAAAATCAACCATAACCAACCAGATCAAGAAAACTTTTTTTTTGGTTTCATAAACAATTTATTAAGGAAAAAGGAGCAGTATACAATATAATTTTGTAACATTTAACATCCAAAAGTACATAAATATTTAGATGAAAAGCATACATAAAATATGTACACATAATAAAACATGGAACATGCCCATACCCAAATCAAACCTGATACACTGAAAAACACATCAATTGTTAAATATTGTAAGAGGATTGGTAAGAGTGAGTCCTCGTTATGTGTATCATATCACCTCCTGGGCGTTCCCTTTTAAAGGTGTTACAACACAGCAGACAAAAACAAAAGATATCGAAAGGAAGAGAAAAGTAGAAAAGAAAAAATGAGAGAGGGAAAAAAAAAAAAAAAAAAAAGGGGGGGGGGGGGGGAAGCCCTCGCGAAGCCCCCACCTATACCACTTGCCTACTTAGACCAACCCTATCTCACTTCCCAAAGTTCTGAAGGAAATGGGGGTGGAAGTTTGACCAAATTTCACATATAAAAAGGGGGCCCCAAAATAATGTATTTATTGATGAGATCTATATTCAGCTGATGTCTTAAAATCCATCCAGCGAGCCCATGTGGTAGTAAACCGTGACATCCTATCTTGAGTAATGTGGATCAATTCCTCCATCTTGTTGATTCTGCCGAACCATTCCCGTATTGTAGGAATATTAGTATTACGCCAATGACAAGGTATACATAATTTAGCCACATTAACCATGCTCATAGCCAAAGATTTATTGTATTCTTTCTTGGAAATTGAAGTATGATGGAGAAAATAATGTGGTCGGGTAAACTCCAATGTATAAGACTTCACCCTGGTGATAATAGCATGGACCTGAGTCTGGAATGGCTGCAAGCGAGAACATGTCCACCATATGTGAAGCATTGACTCAGAAGCCTCTCCGCACCTCCAACAGAGATCGGAAACTGAGGGATAAAATTTATGCGATAAAACTTTGTACCAGTTTTCCTGTACAGCAAAGTTGGATGAGCCTTTATGGATGTATGTGCAAATGGTCTCCCAGTCTTCATTGGAAAGAGATAGGTCCAGGTCTCTAGTCCAATACATGTAAGCTGAATTTGCGAATGCCAACGAGGTGTCTAGCAAAGAAGTATATAAAAGGTGGAAATAATGTGCCATTGGGGTAAACAGCGCATGCAAAGAGTTTCCAAATGTGACAATGGTCTAGTCTACATAGCCCTGGAGCCCCTTGTAGACAAAAAATGGTGGATTCGGAGGCAAGTCCAATGTGATAGTTTAAATAGAGCCAATTTGGCATGGAGAGCATCTCTAGATGAGGAGTACTCCCCGATGAAAAAAATGCATTGCCATGACATCTCTGTGTGGTCAACCCTGCTGGAGAAATTAAGTGGACATTCCAGGTGGTCCAACGTTAAACCTCCCTTGAGTCGGGAAGAAATGTCGGTGGAAAATTTGGTGGGGCAGACCAGTAAAGGGGTGCTCTCTAGCCTCAGAAGGAACCTGAGATGGGTGTAACCAAGGCAATAGATGCAGTGGTAACTAAATCAGTGAGTCCTCCAAAGAGACCCAGTCCTTAGAAGATGCATGAACATTCCAATCAAGTAGATGAGTTAATAAACAAGCCTTGTAATAGCTATAGAGATCTGGCAGGCCTATGCCTCCTTTGGTTTTGGGCTTATCAGTCGGGGTGTATTTAACCCGCGGGGGTTTATGACGCCAGATGAAAAGGGTACACTCTCTCTTGTAAGTACAGAAAAAAGTGGAAAGAACTAAAATCGGGACCGTTTGCATAATATATAAGATGTAGGGAAGAAGGGACATTTTTACTAAAGCTGCCCTTCCAAACCAAGATACATCCAAGGAGTTCCAAGCTCGCATGTATCTATGCATATCCTCCAAAAACATTTGGTGATTCTGGCGGAAAAGCTCCAAGAGACTATGCGGTATGCGGATGCCTAGGTATTTCAAAGCTTCAGAACACCAAGAAAAAGGAAGATTAGATTGACAGTGTCCCATCTCCTTATCCATAAGAGTAACATTCAAAGCTTGTGATTTGCAATAATTAATTTTGAGATTAGAGAGTGATTTATACGGTTTCAAATCCCGAAGTAAGTTCGGCAAAGATAAATGGGGTTCAGTTAGGAAGAAGAGCATGTCATCTGTGAAGGCAGCTACATTATAAGTAGTGCCACAGACTTCTATCCCATGTATGCTAGGGTTTGACCTTATTCTATTTAGGAATGGCTCAAGAGAAAGAACATATAAGAGAGGGGATAAAGGGCAACCCTGCCTTGTGCCATTGTTCAAACAGAAATTGCCAGAGAAAAGGCCATTCACACTTACCTTTGCCAAAGGATTAGAGTAAAGAGCCGGAATGTTGTTCAGTATCTTCGGTAGAATGCCTATTGCTTTCAGGGTTGCTGCTAAGTAATCCCAAGGCAACCCTATCAAAGGCCTTCTCGGCATCAAGTAAAAGGAAGAACCCCCTTCTTTTCTGTGAGGTCAGCCAGTGGTAAAGATTCATTGCCTTAATTGTGTTGTCGCAAGCTTCTCGTCCTGGAATGAAACTGACTTGATCCCAGGAGATCCATCAAGAGAAGGGCAGTAACAGATTTGCTAAGATCTTTGAGTAAAGCTTCACATCCATGTTTAGAAGGGAAACG